ATATACCATGAATCTATCTAAGAGTTAGCGACCAGAGAACTGACTGATGGAGGCTGTGGCATTGGATGCAGAGGAGCCGGTGGAGGTGGATGTGTCTGTTCGGACCTTTTTGTCTGATTCGACAAAGATGGGCTTGGTGGTTGGTCTGCGATTAAGGGATCCTTTGCTTCTCAGCAAAACGACTACCTCAGACATGGTTGGTCTGGAGGCAGCCGATGCCTGAGTGCACATCAAAGCAATTTCAATCACTTTCCTAACATCTTCTGCATCGTATTCGCTTCTGTCTAATGTCTCATCCATCAGTTCTTCATGTTTGTTATTCTCGTACAAACTCCAAGCCTGTCAATTAAGGGAAAAACTTAACAATTCAATCTCCTTTTCTCCAATTCAATTTCTGACATCCATGAAAAAGTCTTTAGATTTTGAATAGAAGAATGGAAGGTTCACCTGTTTGAGGAGGAATTCGTCTACAGAATCAGATCTAGTCTCACTGCTCTTCTGGCCACTAATGATTTCAAGAACAACGATGCCATAGCTGTAAGCATCCACCTTCTCAGATAATTGTCCGTGAAGTGCATATTCCGGTGCTGTATATCCCCTGAAGAATAATTCGGAAACCAAAAGCCAAAAGCCAAATAAATTGCTACATTGATGAAGGCCTTCAATCTTAGGGTTAGAGTTTGATTGTAGACTGAAACTCACAGTGTTCCTGCAAATTGGGTACTGAGATGAGTCCGATCTTGAGGAAGAAGCTTTGCCAAACCAAAATCTGCAATTTTAGGCTGGAAATCATGATCCAGCAGAATATTGCTAGGCTTTATATCGCGATGAATAATGCAGAGGTGGAACTCTTCGTGAAGATAGGCGAGGCCTCTTGCTGTTCCAAGGATTATATCAAATCGTTGCTTCCAGTTGAGAGATCCTTTCTTTTCACCTTTTTGGTTTCCATTAACAAAAGAAAATTAGAAGAGAAGTGAGAATGAGACGGCGAGGAAGAGAGATTAAGCGTCATTACCGAACAAAAATTTGTCGAGGCTACCGTTGGGCATGAATTCGTAGACTAGAAGAAGCTCGGCACCTTTGCTGCAACAGCCAAGAAGGCGGAGGAGATTCCGGTGATGAACATTGCTAATGATCCTCACTTCGCTTTCGAAATCTGCCTTTGCTCTGAGAGATTGGACGATTGCTAACTTCTTCACCGCCACCACTTTCCCGTTCTTGAGAATGCCCTGCCCATTTTCAAATTTTTGGTAATAGTATAAAAAATGATTTCTTCAAATGACTCTCCTGTAACCCGAACTACACTTCTTTTTGTACAGTTTAGACGGAAAAAAAACCTTTCTCTACTGTAATTTGACTCACTCACCTTGTATACTTCACCGAATCCTCCTTCTCCCAATTTATTTTCCAGACTGAAGTTTTGGGTTGCTGAATTCAGATCTCTGTAGCTGTAATTAACGGGACCCTGCAGTTCTGTTGCCTCTAATATGTCACCTGTAACCCAAACAAATGCAAATGTACCTTTCAAAATCCAAATAAATCTCTATAATTTCTGAAGAGAAATGCCAAAAATCTACAGTAGCTAATTTGCTCGTATTTGGAACAAATTTGAGTCAGATTGCCTAAAACTGAGAAACAGAGAACTAGCCAGCTTCCTTTTACCTCTTGGTGCCATTTTCTTCCTTCTTGATGATCTAAACCAGAAAAATACCGCTAGGACAAGTATTAGGAACCCAATGCCCCCAACCAGTCCCCCGATCAGAGCATCTTTCTTGCTGGAACTTTCTGTAAATATCACATTAAAACTTAATTGAAAGATTAAATTAACGTTCTAGACATAGAAAGTTGCAGAGAAATGGAGAAAATTAATTAAGGGTCGGCTCACCGTTCTTGAGGAAGGGGGCAATGTCAGTAGTTTGATTATCAGCAAAGAAGGGAGATTCTGAGTACCTCAAGAAACATCCCACATCCATAGCTCGCCCGTCCGACTTAGGAGGGCATTGCTGAATGTCGCTATACACCACAGCCATGCAACCCCGGCAGCCGCTTTCGCTGATGGTTTCTATGCACTGTGCCACGCCGTACACCGTTATGTTCCCACTCACTTCCTTCTTGCTGGCGGCGAAGTAACCATTGATCCTGGGGGTTGCCGCTTGTAGGTCATTCAAAAGCCCTCCTACCGCTGCATTAAAGGAGGTGGGATTCGATGCAGTCTGATTCCCACAAATCATAGAATGCCCTTCCTGTGTGCTCTGATCGTAGAAATTATTGCTCTCATACCTATCGCTCCAGAAAATCTCACATTAATTAAGTAGAAAGCTGTGTAAGTGTATCTATAAATTGTCAATAAATTTGAAGTCAAATACTTTTTAAATCATATTTTTTATTAAGGAATTATTACTTATTTGTCTTATCTCTAAAAAATTAAGAAAAAAAATGATAAAAATCACCTTAATATATATTTTAAAAATAAAGTAATTTAATCTTTTTCAATAAAAATTTATTGAAACGACGTAATTTTGAGATAATTTTTCTCATAATCTTGTTTGTTAGTAGTTCACATGAGCTGATATGCTAAGAGTCACTACAAAAAAATTGTCATATATCCAAACAGGGCTTCTGCATAAAGAAAAAGTGTATGGTACAACCTTATTATAAGACTCTCTACATTAGATAATTCATTATCATAAATTTAGAAGGAAAAGAATACGGTAAAACTCTACCTTAGAGCATATACAATAGACTCCTGACACTCTCATATGCTTCATTATATTTGTCAGTTAGGTATAATTTAGCTCGAGTACTAAAAAAAATAACAAAAAGATAAATAATTATTTTTTAGCTCTCACTTTATAGATATAAATTAAAATGGTCACATTATAAATAATTAATGTTTTATTATTTTAATATAATTATTTATTATATTTTTATATTATATATTTTTTAAAATTTTTTAATTTCTTAATAAATTAAAAAGATATAATAACTAATTTAAATAAAAAATAATATTAATAATTAAATACGAAACAATAATATCACTCTCCAATGTCAGTTACACATTAACTTTTTTTAAAAATAATTTATTAAGGGATGAGGTTGAATCCACCTAAAAAAAATGGAAAAAATGCACCTCCTCATGTTGACAGGGTGCCACTTGCCCGAAGGGCGGGTGCATCAGTTACACATTAATTTTTTTATTTTTTTTTTGAACATCAGTTACACATTAATTAAAAGTTGAGAAATAAAAAAATGTGATTCCTTTCTTATCCATTTAAAGCTATGTGGCCCCCTAAAATTAAAGTGAAAAAATATGAATTACATCCACTAAGTTCTTTTCATTACCTGAGGAAGCACCCGTCATAGATGACACGTGCCCCGTTGGCGGCATGCGCAGAGCAGTTCCGGATTCTAGTCAAAGCAGCGTCGAAGCAAGCCAAGCAGTCAGACGGGGAGAGGTAGTTCCTGCACTGCACCATGGCGTAGGCAGGGCTGGAACCGGCCGCCTGGTCAGCTGTGGCGAAGTAGTTGTTACCACCGTCGACGAGCTCCTCCCTGAGTTTGACGAAAGTGGCGTTGAGGTTTGTGCTGAAGTCCTGAAAGTTGGTGACGTTGTATTGACTGCAACCTGAGTTGAGCAGATTGAGCTGCGGGTCTGAATTAGCTCCCTCTTCCATAAACAAGAACACCCACATGATCGCCCACAACAATATCATCACGCATCTTTTTCTGGGTTGCTGCATTTTTTTTTTTTTTTTTTTCGAAGAAAAAGAAACGGAAGCCGCCCAGAGGAAGTTGTTTGGTTTAAGAGTAGGCAAGATTAGGAATTCTGTCTTAATATTTAAGGGAAAAATAAATAAATTGTGTAACAGAAATTTTGATGTTTCAACAATAACGTGAGAAGAGCAAACTCATGGTACAATAATTAAATGGGCGCATGGCCCACAAATTGCAATCCTGAGGTTAT